TGTCTTAGAGCTAGTAGCCCGTCTTCTGGATCAAGAACGTTTGCGTTTTGTAACTCCAGATTTCGGTGTCTTTCGGCTTCTGCTTTCTTCTACGTCTTCCAGCAGTTTCTCGCAACTTGTATTTTCCTCCCAGCTTAGTCAGTATGCCGTTTTCCACAGACTTCTTCAAAAAAGATTTGCCAGAGTTGTACGTCTTAACGTCGAGTTGGCTTTTGGTAGCGACAAATTTTGTTATGTCTTTCAGAGAGCAACCCTTCATTTCCCTCAAATTACGAATAACATTTAGAACAACTGGACCAATTTCTTTAAAATCCTGTGAAGCACTCTCTCTGTAAGTAGCTAATGCTGGTTGAGTTGACGTTACGTTATCCTCTCTTTCCATAACTATGCTAGCTGGCGGATTGAGGGGCTGTGCATTGATTTCGTACATTTTTTTTTGTTACAGATTACTGAATATTTCAAGATTATTTTTTTTTTCGTTGGATAAAGACTGGATGCTATCAGATTCAACGTTTGCAATAAATGAATGTGCTGAACTCTAATATGACTTTAATTTAATTTCGATAGCACCTTTAATTTAATTTATTAATTTATGCGGATTATTAAAGTAATAAGAGTTGTAGAAGGATATTGGAAGTGTATTTCCATTCTGTATTCAGAAAAGAGAAATTTCTTTTAAGCAGTTACAAAAAATTTATACATATACTACTTATATACTTCATACATATATATATAGAGAGAGAGAGAGAGAGAAAGTTTAAAAACATTAAATGCCTCCTCAAGGAAACTATAAATAAATAAAATATATAATTTTAAGTGTCAAAATTAATAGAATTCACAATAGCAAAAATATATTGTACATTTTAGCTCTGGCAACCATATTTTCATCTATTCCGCCGAGACTGGCATGGAATGTTGCTGCCGATAATACCGTAGACTTTTTTGCCTATTTCTAATTTTTTCGCTGTAATTATTTGTATGTTTTAATTATTTCGTGCCTGAAATCGGGTTATCATGCTTTTACTTATTAATATTTGGCATTTTGATTTACCGTTCCACCATTAATCATGATCTTTATATGTACGAGGCAGGTGTGCATTGTATTTATTGGTTTTCTTTTTTTTATTTTCAGTTAATTAATTAAATTTCAGCCCTGGTCATTTACATTTTCTCAAATTTAGGACTACGAATTTCGGCAAATAACAGTTTCCTAATATTTTGCCAACTGATTAACAATGTACATTAGATTAACATCTTTTTTTTGGCTTTAATATTTGTTTACATTTTAGGCACTGCTTTTTTATCTTTATTTCTATAAACGTTTAATTACGCCCTTTTGAGACTATTTTTTACTTACGAAAGATATTGGTTTCATTTCTAGACTGATAAAACACGTCGGAAATTTATCTTTCAAAAGATTCCAATTATCTATATTAACACACTCGCGAATATAAAATGTTAATGCTTCCTCTTTCAAACAACTGAGAAACAATGCCAATTTTTCTTTTTCAGAAAGATTATTGATACTCCATTATCTTTCAGAGAACGTTAAATATTTGTCAGTTGGAAAATTTTTGGACCCATCAAGAATGGCACATTCAAATTTATTTTTGTCCACAGAAACATCTTCAGGCACCGTTTCATCAGATTTCTCATCTTGAGGCCCTGCAGGAGTTTTAGATCTTATCTCCATTACAATTTTGCCAAAAGTAATAAATTACTTAATATTGAAAAATAACATTAAAAGAATATAAATAAGTTATGAAATATAAAAGTTACATAGTAGTATATACTTAGTAGTTATTTCATAGCATTAAAAAACCTTTAAGTATAGATTATTACCAAACCAACATTACATAAATTCAACATTAAATAGTTTGACAAAATTTGTAAATTAATACACTTTAATTTCAGAGATGACATACTAGATTTGGAAGGAAAATTTTAAGTCATTTGCACAGTTCTCATTTTAGCCCATCCGAGAAAACTTCGATTTGTTTTAAAGGAAACACTAGCTGAAGATTAATAAAGATTAAGACAAAGATCGAATTCCTCCGCGATTTAAACCGGAAGTAGACGAAATATCAGCCTATAGAACTTGAACCACTTGCGAATAAATACATTATGATGACTGAATTTACTTACAACTTAAATAATTACTAGCTGTAACGCAGAGGTAGTAAGACCGCTAGAAAGGTACAGCATAACGATATTTTTTTATTCTTGTTCTTTCTTGATATTGCTTTCGAAAAGCTTAGAATTTCCGTTAGAAAATTTAGCAATTTTCAGCTTGCAATTTACTTCTGTAGGTCCACTTTTCAATTTTCACAAGGTAATTTCCTGTCGACTTTATTTTAACAGGCTGACTTGTAACAAGCTGAAACGGACTGATGTTGGTTTTCTGCTTTATAATTGTGAGGAGACTTTTTTCTATTAGATAGAAAGGTAACACTCGAAGAAGGGACTTGTAAAAACAAGTGGGCGAAATGAATGTAATTTTTGTTGCTTGATACGAAAAAATTATCGAAAACACACTTTTCTTCACACATGATCATGGGCGCAATACGCACTTAAAATTTTATGCAGATTATCACATTTTAGATAACGGTATACTTAGCAGCACGACAAAGCAAAGTGAGTGAAGTAGCGTCTTGACTGCAAGAGAGCTGAAGCTAAAGTGAGGACAGTTATCCAGTATGGAAGCTCAACCAAGAGGAAGGTATTGGTTTAGGTTAGAAAGATTTCAGTTTTAAAAATTTCATAGTTCAGGGACTGAATTAGATATATCATAAGCGTTATGCATGCTATACAAGATGGATTGAGCTAGAAATGACGCTGTGCAACAAAGTTATTACAGTTTTTAGAATAGAGAGGGGGAATTGCGGGTGCTACTTTGGTAGACGGTTACACGGATTTTTGGCGATTTACATTGGCGCAATTGTTGGCGCGGTTTTTACAGTCGTCAGCCATCGTGAAAAATGCTGTTTTTACGTATTTCACGCATAGTAAAGTATTCGAAACTTTCAAAAAAATAAATATTGTTAAAAATAATGGATTAATTTTTTGTTGAAAACGTTGTTTTCATTAAGAAGGCTGACAAATGTAAATAAATACATTTACTAAGAGTATAAAATGCTAAAGTAAGGTTAAATTATTACTTTCATATAATAGAATAAAAACATTGCGCCAACATTTAATTGGAATAAAATATTACTTAAATTGAATATGAATTGAAAACATCATACCAACGTTTAAAAGAATTAAAATTTTTCAATTACTTAAATTCAAATCCTTTAAAATAAGTTTTATAGGATATAATTATTTAACATTAAAACATGTGGCAATAAATATCTCAGGAAATTTTAAAAAATATGTATTAAATTTTAATAAAAATTAAAGTATACAATAATAAAGTAAAAGAAAAATATGTACTTACATTTTTTTAAGGATTTTACTATACGCATATTGATAAGCACCAGGAAAAAAAAAATCTTCATCTGTTATCCACATTTCTCGCACTTCATTGAAGAAGCAATTAGCGAGGTTTCCTTCAAATATTTTAAATACATTTCCTCTGACCCTTGTAACAATAAATAAATCTTTGATTACGAAATCCAGGTTGGCCAAAATAAGGTCTCAAACGGCAATTTTTTTATGCCGATACCAATAATTCTTGGTAAATACCACTAACAACATTCATCTTCGAAACGGAGACATCCATTCGCTTTGAAATCTGAGGAATTCGAAGAGATGAATAATAAAATTTTAAAATGGCGGGGTAATGCACAAATATTCAGTAACCAATCAGGGAGCTGATTACATCACGCCTAGAATTAAAATTATTTAAATAATCATTCATAATAAAATCATATTTAAAGAATGCAAAATTAAATTGTGTTTTAATATTTAACAGCCATAAATAATGTTTAAAACATTAGATTAAATTTATAGATATTAAAACCAATTACTTTTAAAATAATGTGACGTCATTCATTACATCACTCACAACATAAAATTCCATAAAATATCATAAACAATAAAATTTTTATTTCAAATAAAAATGCAAAATTAAATTCATTTTTATTATTTAGAAGTCATAAATAATATTTAAAACACGGAATTTATGCATAATAAAACGCATTATTTTTTAAATAAAATGACAACAAAGTATCGGTTACCATAACTAACTTGTCTAGCAATGGGTTTACCATAAGTCGTATCGCTCGCCAAAAAGAAATCGCCAAAAAATCGCCAAAATCCGTGCAACCGTCTACCAAAGTAGCACCGAATTGCGGATTTAATCATATATTTACCGTTAGTTTAATTTATAATTTTGATTTACATATTTATCTTACATATAATCAAAATTATAATTTAAACTAGCAGTAACCCAGTAACCCTCTCTTTATTATAAAAATTGTAATAACTTTTCTGGATTGCATCCTTTCTTGATCAATGGATCTTGCATGGCTTGCGTAACGCTGATGACATAGCTAATTCGGAACCTAACCCAAACCTTCCACTTGGTAAGCTTGCATATTGGTCAGAGTACTAGGTAAATCGTGGCTACAAATATCAATTGAAATAAAAAAAAATAAAAAATAAAAAAAAAAGGGAAATTTAATCTTAGACGGCTGCCAAGTTTCCTAGTCATTATGGATTCAACATTTTAGCTTTTTACGAAATCAGAATTCTTCCTCTTTAATATGGATCTACTTTATATGAATTTTATGTGTTAGCCGTCAAATTTGTTACTTCTATTTCTATTCTTTTCGTTACATACATATATATATATAATGAAAGTAATTTAAAGAAAAAAAGATAAACGTAAAAAGCAAAATTTTGAAAGGTCAAAGATATTTAATTATTTGTGCTCTAAATCAGAAATAATGAAAGCATATAAGCAAATTAATGAAGATAATTTATAATTTAGTTATTTAAGATATATGAATAAAACACATTATTAAATCACAGAAAAAGAAATACAATAATAAATTTCAAAATTCATTAAATTCGAAAGATTTTTTTAATTGGAAATTAATTCAAACTTTTTAACCATCACACGTTATAAATTTGACGTAAATATAAATCCAGAAAAGGGAAAAAACCGGAAATACAAAATTTCATTAAATTAATAAATTTGTAGTGGGAGTATTATGCTGATATTTGTAGTTTTCAAAGTCATACCGCTCTAAAATTTTCTAAGATACTAATTAAGAATTTTTGTGGAAATATTTCAAAATGTTCTCCGTTACTGTCCACAGCTATCTCCAGGTTTATGACCTTTGTGCATTTTACGTCTTGAACGGCGTCGTTTCGTAGTACGCTTAGCCCTACCACTTCTTCGACGACCTTTTGTCTTAGAGCTAGTAGCACGTCTTCTTGATCTAGAACGTTTGCGTTTTGTAACTCCAGTTTTCGGTGTCTTTCGGCTTCTGCTTCTTCTACGTCTTCCAGCAGTTTCTCTCAACTTGTACTTTCCTCCCAGCTTAGTCAGTATGCCGTTTTCCACAGACTTCTTCAAAAAAGATTTGATGCCAGAGTTGTACGTCTTAACGTCGAGTTGGCTTTTGGTAGCGACAAATTTTGTTATGTCTTTCAGAGAGCAACCCTTCATTTCCCTCAAATTACGAATAGCATTTAGAACAACTGGACCAATTTCTTTAAAATCCTGTGAAGCACTCTCTCTGTAAGTAGCTAATGCTGGTTGAGTTGACGTTACGTTATCCTCTCTTTCCATAACTATGCTAGCTGGCGGATTGAGGGGCTGTGCATTGATTTCGTACATTTTTTTTGTTACAGATTACTGAATATTTCAAGATTATTTTTTTATCGTTGGATAAAGCTCGGATGCTATTAGATTCAATGTTTTCAATAAATAAATGTGCTGAATTCTAATATGCGTTTAATTTAATTTCCATAGCACGTATCACAGACCGAATTGATTTTCCCATGAACATTTTGTTATCACGTGAAAAACAGTCAGAATTTACTAATTTATGCGGATTATTCAAGTAATAAAAGTTGTAGAAGAATATTTGAAGTATGTTTCCATTCCGTGTTCAGAAGAGAGAAATTGCTTTTAAGCAGTTACTCAAAATTAATACATATACTACACATATATATATTTATATGGAAAGAGAGAGAGAATGTTTTAAGACCTTAAAACCTCCTCAGAAAAACTATAAATAAATCAAAAATATAATTTTAAGGGCCAAAACTAATAGCATTGACGATAGCAAAATGATTTTTTACATTTTAGTGCTGGCAACCACATTTTCATCTTCCTGCCAAGACTGACATGTAATTTTGGAGACGATAATAGTGTAGATAATATTCGCCTTTTTGTACTTTTTTCGCTGTAATCATTTGTAATGTTTTAACTATTTCTTGCCTGATATTAGTTTATCATGCTTTTAATTATTAATATCTGACATTTTTTATTTGCCGTTCCACCATTAATCATAATCTTTATATGTATGATGCAGATGTGTATTGCATTTCCTGGTTTTCATTTTTTTCCTAATTTTTATTCATTTTTAATTAATTAATTAAATTTTGGCCCTTGTTATTTACATTTAGCCCAATGTAGGACTCTGAATTTCAGCAAATAACAATTTACTAACATTTTACCAACTGATTGAGGATGCACTTAAAAAAGATTAACATCTTTTTTTTTTTTTTTTTTTTTTTTTGGCTTCTGTATTTGATTACATTTCAGGCACTGACATTTTAGTCTTTTTTTTTCTATAAACATTTAATTACGCCCTTTGTGGACTTAACTTAGCCTTCATATTGGATTCTTACAATCTGTCTTGGATAAATTCAGGTTCTGCCTATTTATTTTTAAGTTATATTTGATTTTAGAGTCTAAAGTTTATGCTGATTATAATACTATTAATTTGGCTAAATGGCCATAATCTATGCCTTCATATGACATTTTAATTTAATCTAATTAAATCAAAAAACAAAATTTGATTTAGATTAGGTTTAATTTGATTAATTGATTTTTAACACGTTTCCCTCTCTGATGACAGCGTGTTTATCTATTATTTTCTAACCCTTCATTTTAATTTCTTTTTAATTTTTAATAACTTGTAAAATTAAAAATTTAATAAATTTTGAATTTTTTTTATTTGAAATTTAAAGGACTAGCCGTTTATTAACTTCGGCATATAAAATTCTGTTTTCGACTTCTTTATTGGTTTGTTGAGAAGGTTTTCAATATTGTTTTTAAATTTTCGATACATTTTTCTGTGTCATTGCTCGGACAGGCATATTTTACTTAATGATAAAACGTACTTCATTAACACAAAATTTATTTGTTACTCCAGATAAGCATAATTTTAAATATAAATTTCTTTTGGAATGCTGCTAATAAATTCAAAAGGAATACGCTAACTAATGATTAATTTCTACAAATTCGGCCATCCTAGATGTCACTGTGCTCAGGAGCTGTTTAAAATGTTAAAAATATTCTTAGTTTCACATACTAAAACTATAAATTTAATTATTACAATTAAGCAATAGAATCAAAAGCTCAAATGGAAACCTTTCGAGAAATGTGAAGGCAAAATATCTCAGAATAGTAGCAATGTCTCTCTTTAAAAACATTTCATCATGTCTTTCGCACATTCGTCAAAAGTTCAAACGATGTCCACGCTGTGCTGCGACTTGTTGCATTGCTGAGAATTCTCTGCAGTCTATTGTACTTATCTTTGTGGTTTGTATGTTTAGGAGGAATGTTAATTATCCTTCTTCGAAGTATAGATTTATCAAGGGCTGCAAAATTGATTACTGATTCATGGTTTTCAAATTCTATGTAAATAAAGCCTTTAAAATATAAGTATGTTTATCAACCATATTGTAACTAGATTTATCGATCCACAGCCATGAGAATGCTGCTCAAATTCTTCAGCTGTCGCACCATAATCCATAATCGACATTCCTCCCTATATACAGGGAGTCCGTACTTAAACTTAAAATTTCCGAGCAGTCTGTAGCAAACACTAAGCAGCAGAATTGCAGGAAAATTGAGTAATTGAGAAATGAAATGATGGGAATTTTATTGATTAAAAAAAAGTTTCAAAAACCACTACTAGATGGCATTGTGCAATGTAAACTATTGGCATATGCAAATGTCGTAACCATAGTAATCCTGTGCGCGCACAGCAACTCTATAAAGATGCGAGAGGCGAACCGAAGTTATACTCGTTTCTAAGTCAAGGAAGATGACGTTTACTCTCCAGGAACGTGCTTTACTGGTGAAATTGTTTAAACAAAACGGAGAGTTTGCTATCGAAGCTTTGTGGAAATTTCGGTCTTTGAAGCGGTTACGAAAATATCCCCTCAGTAGTCAAGGACTAACAAACATGTTTAGGAAATTTGAAGCAACGAGAACACTGAGGATTCAGGAGGAGGGAAGAGATGAAAGCGTGTTGCAGCACAGGTATTGGATGATGAAGCGACGCAAGTGGAAGAAGAAAAATCGCAAATCATTCCTCAGCACTAATGTACTGTTTATTGCAGCATCTGTTGAACAACCTCTTTGTTCGAGGTTAAAAAGAAATTAAAATGAAGATTCTTCAAAAGGTCTTACGCTACTATACCTATAAACTATCGCTAGTTTAGCAGCTCTTACCAGCTGATATGGATGGTCGACAAAATTTGCGTTGCGGTTTCTTGCGCGAGTTGAGCTGCAGGATGAATGGCCATGGAATATTTTGCAGTCCGACGAGGCCCATTTTCATAAGGAAGGTGAGGTTAACAGGCACAGTTGTGTTTGTTCTGCTACAGACCCACATCAATTCCTACAAATTTCATTACACTCTTCGCATGTAACGGTTTGGTGCGGCTTTACTGCAAACTTCGGTTCTGAGACCGTTTTTTTTCGAACAGCACAGCGCTGCAGGGCCTGTGACATGCACTATCATCGGTCAGCGATGCGCTTCATTATTAGAGCAATCCGTTATTCCGCTCTTCAGGCAAGGGTGATACAACCACAGTGTTTATGCAGGAAGGTGGCACTCCCCACATCACCCGTTGTGTGAAACAAGTGATCCGCCGCGATTTCGGTGACGGAAGAATCGTCAGCCGGCAATTTCCTACATTTTTGCCTCCTAGATCTTCAGACTTGAATCCTTGCGACTTTCGGCTGTGGGAATACTTGAAAGCAATGGTCTACCGTGATCCCACCACATCTATATTCGACCTTAAAGAAAACATAGAACCCCATGTGCGTAATATTCCCCAGTTCATGCTGCTTCCAACTGTCGTACATGGAATTTTACGTTTCCAGATGCTAGCGGACAATGGTGGACATCATATCGAGCATGTTTTGTAAAATTTTGTAGATTATTTATATGTTCTCAGTAAAGCTATGATACGTCACTTAAGGGTGGATTCTGAAACTCTTTGCTTTTTTATTCCTCGATAAAATTCCCATCATTCCCATCCAACTTTCATGCAATTCCCATCCAACTTTCATGCAATTCCAGTACACAGATTTTGCTACAGGCTGCTCGCAACCCTGTATGGCCACCCTGTATATATAAATGGTGAATGAATTCTCACTTTATCTTCATAATTTAAGGACAGATGTCCAGCAGATTGAACAGCTTCCTCGCTTTCAGATATCAGATATCCTATAATTCTCAGAAACCCAAGAACTATTCTTATTTTCTCAAGATTCACGTGAAGGATCAATTTTTAGTGACTGATAACTTTTACGCTGAGGATAATTTGATTTATGAAAAGACTGATAACTATACTGCGTTTTCTAAAACTGCAGCTAGCATTGGATACATAATATCTTCTGTCGGATGAATAATCTTTGGGTATTGCGGTAGTTACTACTTCTATGAAGCTCATTACGCTTCTTAGAAAAATCAAAACTTTTAGCATTTCTATTATATTTCTTATTAAAAGGAAATCTGCTTTTACGGAAGTTTATGACACAGCATTCAAAATAAAGTTTTTAATTTCAGCAGAATTTTCTTCTAAAATCAGATACTTGCAAATCTCAGCAACATTTCTAAAAAAAATTAATAATACTTGGTCAAGAATATTCATTCACCCCAATCACTGATTGAACAAAAAAATATAATAGGCTTGATAGTTCAACTGAGCGGAGGGTGCTATATTCCCCATCAGAGCAACCCCTCATCATTTTGTAAGTGGCTTCTTCGTCTTAATAATCGAAAGGTGGCTTAGCATAGGCATTACAACACTAGGCATGTGTACATCCCATAACATGCATCATCTGAACTTAACAAATGTAAGGGTTTACTCCCCCCCTAGAATGCAACAAGTCACCTTCAGTCTTTGGATTACGGCATTACTATAGTTATGAAAACGTCTTATGGCAAACGATTTTTGAGAGCTGAAATTTGTTCTGCTGAAGAGATGACAACTTTAACTTGGAGTATGCTTGATGAAAAAATAAATCTGAAAGTTTTAAGATTTTACATTACGTCCAAAAGGCCGTTTTTTTAACGTTTTGTGGGTTACCTTTATTTATCAAATATCATGTTCTTCGAACTTAAACCATAAAATTCAGGTCAACAGAAATATCGAAAAACAATTTTGAAATGAGCATATCTTCAGAATTTCCGATACGCAGTGTAATTAATATTAAAATCTTTAAATAATATTAAAATCTTGTAGTTTAAATAGATGAACATTAAGTATTTGTGAATGGCATATTTGAACCGACTCGAGTGCCTCGTGCGACTCTCCACGAAGAATGTAATTATTTTTAAATGTTTAGAATATGTTTTCTCTTTTTGTTTGTATGTCGCCATTTTTTTAGTGTTAATAAAGTTATTGCTGTGTTCCATCATTGGAGTTGCTTCATTTCGCCAAAGAAGCATCACGTCTTAATATTTGGAGGCTGACCGAGATCGAATAATCGTGCGT